CTTTACAATGTGATGCTGAAAGTTAAATGCATTTAAAAAAATCCTATTCCTGAATTAAAATATCTGATAGTCTTATTATAAATTTATTCTTGGTAAGAAAAAAGCAGTGGTTTTCAAAAGTTTGAAGATTACCAGAATTGAAAATTCACTACTTGCTAAGCCTAATAGGAAAACTAGAAATTATGAAATAAACAGTTGATGTGTTTGCACTGAAAGAAAAAAAATCTCTATGATAGTCACCATAAAATTTGTTAGAAGGAAAATGACGGACTTGGAAATATATTTGTAACATACACAGTAGGCAAAAGGTTATTTTCCTAAGTGGATTAGGAAAATTAAAAAATGGGCAAAGAACAAGGACAGATGAGTAACAAAGGAAGGAATACAAAGTGTCAGTAGATATGTGAATAGGTATTTAGCTGTGCTTATAATCAAAGAAATGCCAGAAAAAGAAAATACCTACAGTTTTCAAATATATGGGGAAGTGGCGACTCCCAGATATTGTTTGGTGGAAGTTTAAATGTGTCAGACCCTTTTAGAGATAATTTTTAATATATAATCAAAATTACAATTGCATATCCTCCAATTCAGCAATTCCCCTTTGAGAATTTATCCCCAGTAAAAATTTGGATACATGTACAAAGATATACATATGAAGGTGCCTGTTGTAATAGTGAAAACAGAACCAACCTAAATATTTATCAATAGTCATAAATAATTTAATATCCATAAATTGGAATTTTATGGCAGGTATCATTTTTCCTCATTTTCTTTATTACTGTAAAATACATCTTATATCTACCATCTTAGCTACTTTTCAAGTGTATCGTTCGTTGGCATAAAGTACATTATGTTGTGCAAACATTGCCACCATCCATCTCCAGAACTCTTTTCATCCTGTAAAACTATACCTGTTAGTGACTTCCCATCCCTCCCCAACCCCTGCTTTTTCCAGGCTTTGGCAGCCACTGTTGTTCTTTCTGCTTCATATGTTTGACTAATCTAGATACCTCGTGTTAAGTGGAATCATATAATAGTTGTCTTTTGTGGTTTAGTTAGCATTATCCTCAAGTTTCATCCATGTTGTAGCATGTCAGAATTTCATTCTTTTTTAAGTTTGAAAAGTATTGTAAGCACTTTTAAAAATTTGTTTTTTATTTTATTTTTATATTATTTTTTAATTTTATCTATTTCTGAAAGAGAGAGTGCAAGCAGGGTAGGGGCAGAGAGAGAGAGGGAGACCCAGAATCTGGAGCAGGCTCTAGGCTCCGAGCTGTCAGCAGAGAGCCTGATGTGGGATGTAAACCCAAGAACTGTGAGAACATGACCTGAGCTTAACCAACTGAGCCACCCAGCCGCCCTTTTTAAATTGAAAAATATTTTTTTAAAATGTTTTTTTATTTTTGACGGAGAGACCGAGTACAGGCAGGGGAGGGGCAGAGACAGAGGGAGACACAGAATATGAAGCAGGCTCTGGGCTCCTGTCAGCACAGAGCCTGATGCAGGGCTTGAACCCATGAACTGGGTGATCATGACCTGAGCCAAAGTTGAATGCTTAACTGACTGAACCACTCAGGTACCCCTAAATTTAATTTTTGAGTGGGGTAGCACATCTATTTCGTTCAAATTTAAGAGGAAGGTTGGGAGGAGGGAAGATGGGAAGTGATTGCTAATAGGCCTGGGATTTCACTAAGGGGTGATGGAAGTGTTCTAGAATTAGATATGTGTGTTTGATGTACAACTTTTAATATGTTGAAAACTGAATTATACACTTAAAACAGGTGAACTTTATTATATGTGAGTTATATTTCAATAAAGCTGTTACTAAGAAGATTTCAATGTCAATTATACTTCAATTAAAAATTTCTGGAGGAATAAAAAAATTTCAAGAGGAATAGAATAAATTTCTAATAAAGTGTTCTTATAAGTTGTCCTTCAGCTATTCTAGTTTTACTTTTTAAAAAATTATTTCTTGTGTAACTTTCCAGAAATATTTTTATTTCTTAAGAATATTTTATTTTTTACTTACAGTAGATAGTAAATATTATTCCCTTTCTTTAACAAAAGTGGTAGTAAATTGAACACGGTTTTCTGTACCCAAGCAATTATCTCTGAAATCTGTTTCTCTTATTTTTAGGTAAAAAGGTGGTTTTTGTTGTTGTTGTTTTTTTAATTACAAAAGGATTACATGGTTAGCTAGTACAAAAAAGTATGAAGAAAAAATGTAAAAGCTATTCATACCCAGAGATAGTCATTGGTAATTAATTGCTTGTATCCTTTTAGACTTTACTCTAGATGTATATACACTTTTAAAAATTAGATTGAGACCATCCTATACTTAGTCTTGTGTGGTCTGCTTTTTTACACTTAAAACAGTATATTGTGATGATAGATTTAAATCACTAAATACCAATCTATATTGTTGTTGTTATTTTTTTTAACGTTTATTTATTTTTGAGAGACAGAGCATGAGCAGGAGAGGGGCAGGGAGAGAGGGAGATACAGAATCAGAAGCAGGCTCCAGGCTCCGAGCTATCAGCACAGAGCCTGATGCGGGGCTTGAACCACGAACTGTGAGATCTTGACCTGACCAAAGTTGGATACTTAACCGACTGAGCCATCCAGGTGCCCCTACATTGTTATTTTTTGTGGATGTATAGTATTAAATTATGTGGACATTTTTCATTTACTGTAAGTCATCACCTATTAATATCTATTTAGGTTGTTTCTAATTTTGTCACTATTATAAATAAGAATAAGTATCTTTGTACATACATCTTTGTATCCTTGCCAGATCATTTATTTGAGATATTTACTATGCTGCTATTTTGTAGCCTGCCAGAATTTTTCAACAATGTATGTTTTATAATCTGCAAAGATTTCCATGATATTATTAAAATCTCTGTGAAAAAATTGTGCAGGTATATAAATCCTTATTTTAAATACGAGGAATCTGAAATGCAGAAAGTGGCATTGTATCCAAAATTGCATAGCAGTTAGTGTGAGAGCTGGAACTAAAAGTCATGTCTTCTGATTGTGGGTTAGTGTTCTTTCCACTATGGCATACTGCCAGTCTTTAAACCTTTAATACAAAGAGTGATTTTGGTTGTTGTTGTTTCTTCATTTCTAAAAATATGAATCTTGTGAATACTTTTATTTTATTTTTTATTTTTATTTATTTTTTTTTTTAATTTTTTTTTCAACGTTTATTTATTTGTGGGAAAGAGAGAAACAGAGCATGAACGGGGGAGGGGCAGAGAGAGAGGGAGACACAAAATCAGAAACAGGCTCCAGGCTCCGGGCTCCGGGCCATCAGCCCAGAGCCCGACGCGGGGCTCGAACTCACGGACTGCGAGATCGTGACCTGGCTGAAGTCGGACGCTTAACTGACTGCGCCACCCAGGTGCCCCTTGTGAATACTTTTAGATTCTTTGTCTAACGTGCTGGAAATTTTCCATTCAGATTAAAGGTTCATATACCTTCATTAGGTGTACAGGCTAAAGATATGCTGTCTCAAACATTTTGTAATTTAACTGCATTAACATCTTTGTTTAATTACTCACCTATATTATTATCCTTCCCTGTATGGAAAGCTCACATGGTGAGGTATTTCCCCGTCCCCCTGGTTTTTTTTTAAAGTTTTAAAAAAAAATTATTTATTTTGACGGGGTGGGGGGGGGCGGGGGAGGGTGGCGGAAGAGTGTGAGCAGGGGAGGGGCAGAGAGAGAGAATCCCAAGCAGGCTCTGTGCTGTCAGTGCTGAGCCTGACACTAGGCTTGAACTCACAAACTGTGAGATCAAGACCTGAGCAGAGATAGAGTCAGAGCTTAACCAACTGAGCCACCCAGGCACTCCTTCTCCTCCCCTTATGAAAGCTTCAAGTTATGTTATTTTCTTCAGGTAGTACTAGTTTCTGTGGGCTGGGAAAATTCCTTTGATTTCAATGACAGGTCCATCATTTACTGTGTGAGCTTGGGCAAGTTACTTAAATCTCTAGATTTAAAAAGACCTGACAGACTTTGGCTGAGGTCATGATCTCGCAGTTCTTAAGTTTGCGCCCCATATCAGGCTCTGTGCTGACAGTTTGGAGATAGGAGTTTGTAGATTCTGTGTCTCCTTCTCTCTCTCTGCCCCTCCCCTGCTGGCTTGCATGCTCTCTCATTCTCTCTCTCAAAAATAAACAGTAGTGGGCACCTGGGTGGCTCAGTCGGTTGGGTGTCTGACTTCGGCTCAGGTCATGATCTCACATCTTGTGAGTCCAAGCCCCGTGTCGGACACTGTGCTGACAACTCAGAGCCTGGAGCCTGCGTCTGATTCTGTTGTCTCCCTCTCTGTCTGATCCTCCCCCACTTGCACTCTTTCTCTCTCTCTGAAAAATAAATAAACATTAAAAAATATTAAAAAAAAATAAACAGCGAAAAATCTCCAAGACTAGTGTCATCATCGGTAAGAATAATAATAATAATTAGTAAAAAAGTAGTAAAAAAATTAATAGTACACATGTCATGAAGATTAAATGAATCAACACATAAAAAGTGTGTGGCATGTAGATGCTACTCATTAAATGTTAGTATTATTTAATGTGTAAACTTACTTAAAAAGTCATTTTGTGTTTTGATATCCTTTGTATTATTTGGTGAAACTTTTGTATGATGTGTTTGTATTCCTGTAGATTTCCCCTTTCTCCTCCCCTCCCTTTTAGTTCTGTGAATATTTCTGTTAATTTTGAACAATGCCTTTATTTTGTCATGGCTTATGCAAAGTGAAGTTCTGCCATACTTCTCTTGTTTCCTTTTGGGAGTAATACAGGTTAAATTATTGACATTTTATAGATTATCTCAATCATATTTTAAGACAGTGTAAAATAACATGAATTCTAATTTGTTAAATTCAAGTTCTGAGAGCCCTGGTAGCTACTTTCTGACTTTCCCAGTCTGCTTTATTTTTTCTTCTTGAGGAGGGAAGCTGACTTGGGGTTTTCTGTTTTGTCTTGGTTCTAGCACATGCAAATGACAATCCAGGCTCTCCAGGATGAATTGCGGATCCAGAGGGACCTGAACCAGCTGTTTCAGCAAGATAGTAGCAGTAGGACTGGTGAACCTTTTGTGGCAGAGCTGACAGAGGAGAACTTTCAGAGGTTACATGCTGAGCATGAGCGGCAGGCCAAAGAGCTGTTTCTTCTTCGAAAGACTTTGGAGGAAATGGAGTTGCGTATTGAGACTCAGAAGCAAACCCTAAATGCTCGGGATGAATCCATCAAGAAACTTCTGGAGATGTTGCAGAGCAAAGGACTTTCTGCTAAGGCTACTGAAGAAGATCATGAGAGAACAAGACGACTGGCAGAGGCAGAGATGCACGTCCACCACCTAGAAAGCCTTTTGGAGCAGAAGGAAAAAGAGAACAGTATGTTGAGAGAGGTGAGTGCTTTTTCAGTTGTCTTGACTTACTGATTGTCTCTCCCACCCCGCATTAGTCAGCGTCTTGGCTTAGATAAATTTACATACTCCATTGAGTTAGGCCGAAGGGAATTTCTTCTTTGATATTTAAGTGCTTCACTGATTTCTGATTTGCTCTCTTGTATGAGATGGCATTGACTAGTATGTATACTGGCTTGATAAATTTCTGGATCTTTCTGTCCCCCGCCCCCAATCTGGTTTCTGTAGACGCATTTTATTGCTAGAGGGACACAGAATTTTCTTAGTTTGTTACTCATCTCTTGATTTGTTCATAGAGACACACACAGCAAAAACAGAATCAGATTACCTAATTATTGTTTAATTTCAGAATATTATTAAGAGAAAAAGTGTTTACCTCAGTTTAGATGTGCTTGTATAGTCCTTGGTAGTAGTAATGGATGTTTGCTCTGTGGTTGCCATAGAAACTTGCCTTGCTCTAAAAGATATGTAATAAAAATCATTTGCTGCCATGGAGGCACAGTGAGAAAGAATGATATAGAGCACACTGTCAGTTATTTTTTATAGAGGAAACTCAGACTTAAGCTGGCCACTGTGACTGTTGATAATCTTTCACTTTTCTAGGTAATGATTCATTTTAAGAAAACATAAATGAAAAATACATCTTCCTTTGAATTAAAAAAAATTGACAGCTGTAATTCTCTATATGTGGCCAGAGACTTCAGATAACTTTCCCATTTGGATAGGGAAAAAAAATCACAGAATTGTGTTACTGTCAGTCTGAATGAAGTATGAGGAAAGGAATTAAAAGCATGGAATATTCCCAAAGCAGCAAAATAGTAACTGTAAAAGGATACTTCTATATTTGTAGTTCTATAACTTCTCCTTTTGTTGTAAGGAATATGAAATATTTACAGTGAGGACATTTTATTTTTGATAAAGAGGAAATTCAGTGTTTTTTAAAAACATGATTTTATTACATAGTAAATTCATGGTAGCTTATTGTAGTAAAATTAGCAAAAACTTAAAATCCCAGGTATCATTACCTACTGATAACTGTTATGCATATGTTTCCAGTCATTTTTATTATGTATACATTCCTTCTGCATTAAAAAAATTATTTATTTATTTATTGTGAGAGAGGGGCAGAGAGAAAGAGAGAACCCCAAACAGACCTCTTGCTGCCAGCACAGAGCCTGATGCAGGGCTTGATCTCACAACCGTGAGATCATGACCTGAGCCCAAATCAAGACTCGGATGCTTTACTGACTGAGCCACCCAGCTCGCCACCCTTCTGTATTTCTTTCTCTTAAAAAAGATAGAATACTGTACATTAGTATTGTCTAATAGAAGTTTCTGTGATGATGGAAATGTTCTGTATCTGCTTTGTTCATTATGGTAGCCACTAGTCACATATGGTTATGGAGCTCTTGAATTGTGGCTAGTGTGACTGAGGAACTGACTTAAATTTTATTTCACTATAACTAATCTGGAATTAAATTTAATTAATCAAATTTAAATTTAAGTATCTATGTGCAGCTTGTGGCTTCTGTGTTAGTGTAGGTATGCATAATGTAATGTCACATGCTTTTCTTGATAATGTATTTGACCATCTTTTGTCAGGTATATGTAGAGTTTTGTAATTTCAGATGAATTTATAACGTTTGATTGAATATTGAAAATTTAGACCACTATTTTTCAGTAGTATAAAACTGCTGTGCTGAATATCCTTAACCATATATCTCTGTACATTAATTTTTTTCTTTAGGATAAATTCCTAGAAATGAATTTGCTTGAAAGGTGTGTACATTTTTGAAACTGAATAATCTCATCTTCCAGAGTGATTGGACCAGTTTATCTTCCTAGCGGTGTATATAACATGTTGTTAGGATTAATCAGCAGCTATGTACATTTTAGGCTCTTCAAATTATCAGACTGTAATATTTTAGGAAATTTTCAGTCAACTGGTATGTTACAGGCACATCCTGAGTTTGTTTCAATTTACATTAAAGACTTTATATTTTAATGAGATTACTTAGAGCCTGGCCATAGACTTTTGTTAGAGAAGTTGTAATAATCTCACACAGCATGCAGCCTGAAATGTTTCCCAGCATCATGAATTTTGAATGTTATGTTTTTAGTGCTTCTGTTCTGAGTGTTTCAACCTATGCCCATTTATTTATTTGAAAGCATTTTAAATTGAAGTATAGTTGACACAGAACATTACATTAATTTTAAGTGTACAGTATAGTGATTTAACACCTCTGTACATTGTGCTGTACTCCCTACAGGTATAGCTACCATCTGTCACCATACAGTGCTAGAACAGTACCAGTGACTATATTTCTTGTGCTCTCCTTTTATCCCTGTGACTTATTCATTCTGTATCTCCCACTCCTCTTTACCCATTTTGCCTATCCTTCAACACATCTCCCCTCTTGCAGTTTGTCCTCTATAGACTCTTTCTGCTTTTTGTTAATTTATTTTGTGTTTTAGATTCCACATATAAGTGAAATATATGGTATTTGTCTCTTTCACTTATTTCACTTAGCATAATACCCTCTAAGTCCATCCATGTTGTCGTAAGTGGCTAGATTGCATTCTTTTTTTATTATGCCTATTTACTTTTGAGTTTTGGAGTTAATAAATGGTGAACAGTTAAGGAGTGTGAAAAGCTACATTGTTACTCTGGCAGAGAACAGAGATGTGGTGAATTTGAAAAAGTGGTAGAAAAAAACATGAATATAAGACTGATTTTTCAACTAACAAGCTCTACAAAATCAAGTCCCACTTACGTACATAGTGTGGAAGAAATATAGGTAGGCCTTATCAATCATACCAACACACAATTCTAGTTGCTGTTAGTAACATAGCATCATCTTACAGGAAAACACAGTCTTACAAATTAAAATTACTTAAGAGCAGGTGGAAATGATTGTTTCAGAAACAAATGTTTAGAATTCTAGTTCTCTTTTCTGTTTCTCCTATTTACCTTCAAGACTTAGACCAAATTTTAGTTCTTTGAAGTTTTCCTCGTGTAGCTGTATACTTAAATGTAGATGAACCAATTCTATGATAGTATATTTATATTTACCTGTATGTTTCTTCATTGTTTGCTTCATTTTTTGCATCAAAGATACATTTTTTAAATATTTTATTTATTATATATATATATATTAAATATTCTTATTTATT